ATATGACCTAAACTTCGGGTCCCACGCACGAGGTTTTTTTCTCCGTGTTTAAAGGAGGGGTGTCGACATGTCTGTCTTGACGAATGGGACGCCCGGTGAAAGGGTGGCGACAGGGGGTTTTGGATGAGATGAGGGAGTGCCAACTCCCTGGTGGGTTGTGGGAGGACCGAGCTCTGTGACGGTTATGCGTCGCAGAGCGCCAGAGAGCGCCGTGAAAGCGACTATGTATGTATCGACATGGGCCGAAATCCGCCCGCCGCTCCCGCAGAATCTCAAGATTTATCGATATTTTGTATTTGAAGACTTGCGGTTTACGGAAGCATTTGTGTTCCGGGGAAACCACATTTCTTAACTTCGAAAAGGAGAAAGGTCCAGGCTTGGTCAACAACTTGGTGAACAAAATCCACGAGAGTTCGCGTTTTTCAGAGTCTTACATCAGATTTCATGCTGGGCCAAAGGGTGACGGTTAATCGTCACATATATTGCGTCTCAAGGGGCCTAAACGACGAATCTAAAGCTCATTGACCGAATCATTTGGCCCCAGAATACAATCTTATCTGGAACACTGAAAAAACGCGAATTTTCGTCTTCAAGCCCGACAGTTGGGGCTTCCGTTTCGAAGCCAAAAAATGTGAGTATAGCAGAGAAAAAAATGTTTCGGTAAATAAACGTCGTGGACTGCAAAACATCGAAAAATCCAGGTATTTTGGGGGTGGTCCGATTTTGGCCCTTATCGATACCCTGCCTTTCAAGGCACGCTTCTGAAAGAAAAGGAGGTGTGTCGATAAGGACCTTCTTTACCCCCCCCCCCCTTGAATATGGAAATTCATGCGGTTTTTCTAAGTTGACTCAATGTAGTTTACGAATGATTGGAAGATGGAAAGATGGTGGCACACTCTATACTCTATGCTTTGCTGATGATCAGGTGGTGGTGGCGCAAGACGAAGAAGATGCAGATTACATGACACGATGATTTGTGGGAGGATCGATTCCGATGGCGATTTGGAGTCGCAGAGCGCTCTAGTGCGCTGAGGTAGCGGCTTGATATGTATGTATCATGATTTGGTCCATAGGCCACTAGATACGTGTTAAACGGTTTACTGAACATGGGTCTGGACTCTGGAGGCGCAATTTAGCGAAAAATGCGTGTTTTTCTATCAATCCTAGGCTTTTTAGACACCGGGCTCATCGTCCAACTAAAGCGAGTTTTTGATAAGTTATCAAAAGGGCTTTAGGACACATTATTTAACCCTGGTTTGGTTTTAGTTATGTGCTTTGGGGGGCCAAAAAAGGCCCTTGTCGATTGCCCCTCCTATTACGAGAAAACAAATCGAACCATTTTAAAATCTCTAAGTTTTGTATTGACAAAGATACAGGCTTCTGATTTAAAGTTTCCTCATCTGTCCGACTACTCTCATCGACTCGCCCCTCTGTGCGCCGCTCTACACCGCCCCCGCGCATATTAATTCCGTGTCAGCTCGTCATTTTTTCGGAGGGCAGCGGAACGCCCTCTCCGCCAGAGTTGAGTCCTCGGGTGAACTTGCCGGGGAAAATTCCGTGAAGGTTCCTGGAAAGTCTAGCCACCTTAAACAGGATTATAATTAACTGAATGGTAGACGGTTGCTCCGCGCTATGGAAAAGGACGGGCTTGCTTGGTGTTTGGTCGCGAGAACTCCACGACACTAGCGGATTCAGGAAATTGGCAACATTGTTTTTCGGTTGTAGGACATTTCGTCAACGATTTTTTGTCCGCGCACCTGTTTTTTCCAGTAATTTACGTCCACGCGTTTTTTCGGCACGGGAATTTTGGTCCACGTGCCAGTTGAGACCCAAAGTTAATTGGCCCACATGTAAATACAAACGACAATTTCTCACGACGTTTCTGGATGAAAATGTAAAATGTCTTGGAAGAATAAGGGTTTGCTTGTTTTTTTGTTTTATCTGTTTGGTCCAACGGAGAATAATATATAGTTGAGAGTTTTGGTAAAAATGGGGGAGCGTCAATTCCATGAGACAAAATTCACTAAAACTCTCTACACCTCTTTGGTGTAACAGGACTCAATTATCTTTCAAGAAATTTCCACCTTGATATACCGGAACCGTATAAACCTCTATATTTGCCTCAGCTAAAGGCTCTTAGATTTTTCCTGTGTACGATAAGTATCTTGATTTATTTTGCGAGGAAAGATCTGTACTTTTAAAGGATGCTTGTCATTCTGAATACGTTCAATTTCGTATAATACTGTGCAACACCTCTGTTGTGAAATAGTTGCTTCAGGCGCCTCCGCACGGCGGGCGGGCGGCTAGCGCGGAACGCGCATTGGCGCCTACAAACCTAAGTGGATACCTCAAGCATTGTGCAATGCGTGAAGTATCTACTTAGGTTTGTAGGCGCCAGTGAGCCTCTCGCGCTGGCAGCACGCCGCTCTGCTCTGTTCGGCTTTAATATTTATACTCGCATAGTCAGAGTTTCTTAACTCATGATTTTGAAATGTTAGCACACTCTGCATTGATTAGGTATTCTCATTTAAATTGATGGGGAAAAAATATGTGTCAATTTGTCGAAGGAGAATAATAATATAATGTTTGTTTTTTAAATATTGGTGGTTCCGTGTCAAATTTAATGCTTTCCAAAGCACTTTAATTTTTTTTTTACATTTTGTGCTTTTATTGTGTACAGCGAGGTGTACGTGCAACGAAACGCTCAAAATTTGACGTATTTGACTCTAAAAGATCGATATACAAAAGGGGTTAAAACTAAAGATTGCGGGCTTCTTGGTTTTTATTCCTCTTTTATTCATTTTTGCAGTTTCTGTCGGCACCACTACGGCTCATTGAGTTTAATGTCGCTTGGAAAAGGTTTTACAGATATTTTTCACGTTTTAAAAATATAAGTGTTTTCAAAATGAAGTAATAATTTCGTAAAGAAAAAATAAAAAAAAATATAAAAAAGTATCTATACATATAATAAGGTATATTGTACATTCAATATTTTAAGGATAGAAATAAAACCAAATATTCACCAATGACAATTTAAAAAGATGATTCAAAAGGAGAAAGTAATAACATTTCATTTAGAAAAAGAGCAACCATAACAACACCTCCTTCTCTCTCAATTTCTCATTTCCATATTGTCAATATAATTTTACATACCGACTAAAATATAACGCTGGGACCAAGTCACTGTTGCTTTTTTTACGTGTGGGCGTAAACTATTGGACAAAAAAGGTGCGCGGACAAAAATTGTTGACAAAATGTCCTGAAACCTTGTTTTTCCCCCATTTAAACCTATGGAAATGTATCGATTCTTGAAAAGGCCAGGTGCTTCGACAAGAATCGATTATGTAACATAGGTTTAAATGGAGGAAATCCGGTGTTGCCAAATTGCTGGATCCGCCTCCGCTCCACGCGCATCACTTTGCAGTTATGGCTCCTTTCTCGGCTTTGATTTCACCAATAGAAAATCAGCGAGTTGACTATTGACATTGATAGACAGAGCAATAGACAAAGACAATGAGAATATGGAGCGATCCTGTTTGTGAGAGCGAGTGGTTGTAATGGACAAAGGAGATAGGTATGTAGACTGACCAACAGCAGCGGCAGGCCCTATAGTTAGCCCATCACTTTCCTCCTTCCTTAGTCTATAACAACCACTCGTTTCACCCTGTAGGATTGCTTCATCTTATCTTTGTCTTCATTGTCGATCACTTTGCCTATCGATTTCTATAATCAGCCTGCAGTTGTTTTGGGTGACGTAAAAAAAGACGAAGAAAAGTTAAGGAATTTTGACATTGGCACGACTCATTGTTAGTAAAAGGATTTTCTTAAAATTAGAGAAATGTCATCAGGAGATTTAGGCATTCGTAACCTGGAAATTACTCTTGTAAAACCACAGAAATTCAAAAACAAGCAGTTCCAACGCCAAAGCGTTGGAGGGCGCTTCTTTAACACTGCGCATGCGAGGAACGTTTCCATACGGCCAAGCGAGAGTATTGCGGACGGACGATGTATAACAAATTGCCTACGTGAAGGTGGTCCGGCAGCAACATACCCGCCGCTAGTCTCTGGAAAACAATAGAAAATAGTAGTTGCGTACGTTGCCAGCGAGCGCGCTGCGAGCGCATCTGTTTCAGTTACCTAGCATCGAGTCGGGCCTCTAACTTTCTATTCTCTCTGACATAACCTTAAACCTTCAACCCACCCAGAGCCGCTGCCGCAAACAGCTGACGCTTGACGATGCTGCGCCGAGAAAATGAACCAATCACAAAATAGCACAGTAATACGTCACTAAAATGAAGAGATCACGTGACTGTGCGTGATTTTTTCGAATCAATCTGAAACTACAACCTCGAATATGAGGCATTTAAGCATAACGAAGCCTTAAAATACTTTAACCAGGTAATACGTCCGTGCGAGATTGTTATGCTTAAAAGCAAAACATTTCACGAAAACTTTTACGAATACCAGATGCAGAAAAAAATCAAATTTTCCCGGGTGTACCAGAATGGCGTCATTACCCATAAGACAAAAGGGCATGTAGTATAGTACATGTTACATCGGGGGAGTCGAACGGTTGGAAAGGGCGCATCTGGTACCCAGAAGCGCCCAAAATTTCAGGGAATCGCGGATTCATAAGTTAAGGAGCTAATCAGCAATATTAAGGGATTTCACCTTTTTACCGAAATCGCAACATCGATTCACAAGAAATCTTACTCAAATTTCTCGGTCATCGCAGATTTTCGATCTTAGCTTATTATCCACGTAAATCTACAATAGGCTTAACTTTCGTCAAATCTAATGAAGGGGGAACCGTGAGTTTGTTTGAAATTTGCTTCAAGAGGGAAAAGCAAAACTTTGAAAAATCTTCCGAGATGGGTTGAAACTGATCAGGGAATGTCCCCGGTAAGATCAAATTGAAAGTAACTTAATTTAAGAAAAGTTGAAACAATTAAACAAACAACAAACTTGAAAGTCTAGAATTTATGTCCATGCATGAGTACCTTGATTCTTGAGGGGTGGCGTGCGAATCCATTGCGTCCTCTTGGTATCACCACAATACGAACACACTTCTCGAAGCCATAGATAAACGTTCTGGCCACCGACGTAAAGAGGGTAACGATACTTAAACTAGTTGCACTGTCATTTTCCACTGACGCACCACAGATCATATATATTTACAGATCTACATTTTAGAAAGTTAGTAGTTCAATTTTGTCTCTTCGCATGCGAGATTAAGATTTTTTTAGCGGTGAAACTTTCCGAACGGACGGGCAAAGTTCGAAAGAGTTAACCAACGATTTGCTGTTTTCGAAAAACATATTGACGTTTGAGAGAGGACGGGTTGCTGATAGAAGAAAATATGGCGCGATCGATGCGTTAAATGAGGTCACAAAGTCAAACAAATGTTTTCGTGCTGTTACTGTATGTTCATAACTAGAGAATATTTTTAACTTGCTGAACTCGACGAAAAATCCAAAACCGTAAAGTTTTGGCCGTACGCGCAGAATTTACTGCAAAAATACAAAAGCTATGAAAATTAACTTCGGGGGGAAAAAGGGCAAAAATGTTGTCAGTCTTGCAAATTTTTCGCTTTGGTTAGGAACCAATTAGATGTTGAATATAATGAAAATGTTTAATTAGCTATTTGCCTTTCCAAGGCAGAGACAGGTACGGAAACGGAACAGGGCAATAAAAAAAAGTTTAAAAAAATAATTTGCTCCTTCGACTTACAAAATCTAAATCTCTCCAGACGTAGGTAGTTAATACGTAAGATTATTATGTTATAAAAACTATTACAGAAATTTACGAGCACTTGGGGAGAAATGTTTCGTCATCTTTTGCTAAAGAGCTCCTGTAAGGGAGTTAACTGTGGGCAGTTTTAGAACCTCTTTTAGTATTGACGTTTCGAATTTTCTACAAAATAGAAACAATGATTTTGGACTATCAGGAAAAAATGCGTTTCGATTTTGTACTAAGTTCACAGACAAAAATAACGCTAAAGTTCAAATTTGTAGAATACGACTAGGACCTATCGAAAGTTGCTACATTTTCAAAGCATTCATTAAAAAATCAGACATCAAAGATTTCGAAAAATTTCAAAATAAAGGATTTCCAAAATCATTTTCAAAACTGCAAAAAAATTGCGTGAAACAACGAAAACAAACCGACAAAATTGACATCTGGAACTTAAAAGTAGAGGGGATGCAAAATAACATTGGTCCTATTTCGATTTGGAAACGCTTCCCGGAAGGTTTCATCAAAAACAATATTGACTCAAGCAACCGGAAGAGAAGGTGCACACACCCGGTATGGAAAAAAAAGCGAAACGAGGCGAGGCACGAAAGCTGTGAAAAATGAATTAAGAGCTGGAGGAGATCATGCAGGAGGCATTGAGATAATGCCGGGAGTCGAGGAGTCGGAGAAAGAATAACAATTCCGATAGATCCGATGCTAACCCTCCCCCCCTCTTCTCACCCCCTTCAGACCCCCACTCAACCCTCCCCCNNNNCGCCGGGGGCGAGACGCGAACGGATACCGCTGTTACCTCGTTAGTCAACCGAAACGCACTCAATTTTATTCATATCCTGCAAAGCATCTCCGCCGGGCGGGCTGCGTTCTGTAATTTTTCAGGGGCCGAGGCTCGGGGCTGTGAAACTCGGGGCGGCGAAACCTTATTTTTTTTTAAAGAAAGTAATATTTTTGTTATCGGGCGCCCTTGCTAAATAAACCGCGCCGGGCCGATACCTCTCAATGCGCTTAAAATGTTACTCGGGGCGCGATGGTTGTTTCACCGAGGCGAAGATGGGTTCCGCTTTGCGCCCGGTCGTCGCGGAGTATGCAACCCGCGAGGCAGGTTAACTTTTGGAGCGCGTAATGTGGTTGAGCGCCAAATTTTCGGGTCGACTTGATTCCACTGTTTCCCTGTGATGCCGTGTTACACTGTTACGGGAAAGAGCAGTGGCAACCACATTTTCGATATTAAGTTCTCTTCAGGATTTGACTGATCCAATTTCAGTAAACTGATTTATACTGCTGAAGCAAAGGAATTGGTCTAATTTCTAAAAAAAAATTAGGGGAAGCAAAGGTGCGCCAAAATTGCCGTAATTTGAAATTAGAAAGCATTAATAATAATCCAATTTATCTTGCCAGTGAGCAGTATCGACTACTGTCTTGGTGCAAATGGGCATGTTTTTTTGGCGACTTTCAAGATGCAAATCTGCCACAAAATTATTAGGTCCTTAATTTTTTTGTAATTACAGGTACAATTCGTCGCAGAAGTGAATCGGGGACACATCTTGTCTCCATGCCACGGTGCTTCAGGAGTCCAAGGTCTACTAAAACAGGCTGGCCAAAAATCGGTAATTTTACAGTACTTGCCCATAACATTCCCAAGAAATTCAGTACCTCCTCAACAGAAAAATTCAGTACTTTTTGAAAGCGTTCATCTGACGAAATTCGAAAAATTTCAAAAATTTGAATTTCTCGCTCGAATTGCGACAAAAATGACAACAATTCCGAACCCTCTTGATGCGGAATTTCCACACTTCGTCGCTCCTCGGACGTAAGGGCGTATCTCGATTTCCGTATGAGCCCTGGAATGCATCGAGTTATATGGAAGACAGGGCTCACGTGGAAAATGAGATACGCCCTTACGTCAAAGGAGCGACGACTTGTTCAGTATTTCTGGACCGCCCGTAAAAAATCAATACTATTTGCGGAACTTCCGGACTTGTGGACACCCTGATGATGAGCTTATGCAAATCTCCTAAAGTAAATAAGGAACTTCGATTCTTTGATTTTTAAAAGTCGAACCATGAGATCCGATCGCGAGAAAGTAAGCAATAAATGCTCCCTGACAAATTGACACTAACGAGGCGTACCTTAGCGCGAGAGAAAAAAACAGGATCGGGAACAATGATGAATTAATCGAGTGCCTTTTTTTTTCTTTTTTCAGTGCGCTAAATGACTGCACGGTTCATTAAACGAGCGCGGCGATTAACGGTTTGCGCAAAACGTCGCTCCATTGACGTAAGGGCATATCTCAATTTTCACATGAGTCCCAAAAAGCATATGGTTATATGGAGAACAGGGCTCGCGTTGAAATTGAGATACGGCGTATACTCAGAGGAGCGACGATAAATCGGGCGGAATAAAAAGGCGGCTCGTCTCGCGTCGCTGCATGGCGCAGCGCTTGATGCAAGGCAGACTGCGAAAATGTCACCGGTCAGGTAAACGATTATCGATCAGAGATGACATCAGAGAATTCACATCCTATTGGCGTCAGACGTGCTGCACTTTTTAGACAGAGTTTCCCAGAAACGCACCAGATAAGTCGCATTTCGGGAAAAAATGAGTTGAAATTTGGTTGGTTTTTTCATTTTTATCAGGATTTATATTTAATAAATCGAAAAGAAAATATTACCTTTTCTCCTGGTTTTTATTTTTCTTTCAGACGATGGCCATTTCGGGAGAGTATCCCATCTTCAGGCCTTTGATCACTCTTATGCTAGAAGTAAGAAACCTGGCACAGGAGTGATCTAAGACCTGAAGATGGGCAACTCACCCGAGATGGCCATCCTCTAAAAGAAAAAGAAAAACCAGGCGATCAGGAGAAAAGATAACTTTTTCAAAAAAAAAAAATATTAAAATGAGTTGAGACTAGTTGTGAATTTGACTAATCTTAAGCTTTCTCGTATCAAAAATTAAAAGTCGAGAAGATATGGATTTTGAAAGTGAAAATAAGTATTTATCTTTATCCTTAACGGCGAGTCTTATGACGAAATAAAACTTTCTCTCTCGGTTCAAACTTGATGCGACTTGTTATGTTTTTGCTGAATTCGGTCCAAAAAATACTTATATAAATTAAAACAAATACTTAAATATGATAATTATGCACACAGCAAATCCAAACCACTAAATTCCGCTCTCCTAGCGACTTGAAACGGTGCGTGTGCGACGCTGCACGAGCTACGCTGCTGTGAACGTATGAAAATCCTGCGCGCCTTCAATTTTTCGTACATGCAACACGGGCATCCTAGGAACACGAATAGTCGCATCGCATCCAGGCGTTGAAATACATGAATCGATCCACGTGAAAGCGAGACGTGTTCATTGTTTGATGATTCTCAAAAGACCCATCCACGATCATTTGGGTGGCCAAAAGAACCCGAATTGAAAAATCAATTTTTCTTAGAAAAGTATGTTTTTTTAATCTCTCTCTGTTTCTAAAATGTTCAATTTGATGAAAATTCATTTATTAAAACTGAGGAAAGTTCCGAGCAAAACTGGAAGGTCCGGGAAGGCCTGAAATTTTGGAGGAAATCACTGAAAAATTTTCACTTTTGAAATATATAAAAAGTTCAAGGACGACTTAAAAAAATTCATAAAACTCTGTATCTTAAAATATTGAGGTACGCTGAGAAACTGTTTTGTGAGAATAAGTCGAAAATGTCAAATAACAACTGTTTTTCTTTAAATTTGTTAAAAAAAACTTTTAAGAATATTTCAAGTTAGTGAAAACGTTAACGAAAAGTAAATTATTTGTTTAAAATTAAAATTGTTTCGAATTGAATCATTTTGGTTTAAAAGAAAAAAGCAGTTGTTATTTCGATCCGAAAAAAAATTTCGTTTGATTGAAAGGAACACTTTTCTCAGTGTAAGGAGGAGAGAGTTTAAGGACGCGTGGGTAGGTATACTAAAAAGCTACACCTTCAAAGGCAAACATAGAAGATCAGAGTAACAATCGTTTCAAAGAACCAAAGAAGTGTGAAAAATATGAAGGAACGAAACACGTAAGATAAAACCACTGCTTTATCGATGCATCGATGCACCAACTTGCAGAATCTACAGGAAGTGAAGTGTTCGAGAATTCGCCTTCAAATCGTTAGATGGGCAAAAATGAAGTATTTTCCTCCGGATAGAGCACTAAATCGCTACTGCTGACAATGAGCATAAATCTACCTCAGAATTGTGCTCCAAAAATCTGGATTCTGAGGACTTAATGAGCACCTCTCGTAGAGCTATCGAATACTGAACATTGGATTCAGCCTATACACCTCTGATGTTGAAAAATTATACTTGGAACATTTATTCTGAGGAAACCATTTTTTCAGTAAACTAGAGGGTACTTCCCCTGACCGCTTCGCGGTTCGACCTCCCGAAAGCACTCCGCGCCTCAGGCGTTATGCGTTACACGTTATAACGCTTATGATTTTACATCATAGAATAGAATAAGAAATTATTGTCATTGTACTACCACTACCTCCTTTCGCAGAATCAGTAACCGTCGATCAATTTTTTTATAATTTAAAGCCAGCTTGCCATTGGATGAATCGGTTTGCTAATTTTAAGATAGGGTGGCGAGGTACCACGGATGAAGGGACATTGTTGAGGGAAATTTTATAATTATGAAAACCTCGTGGTTCTTTTGTTTTCATTGCTGTTTTTTTTTTCTTTTTCTTTTTGAATTAGGGGTAAGGTTGCACTTCATTGCTCTCATTCAAAATTGGGAAGTATAAGAAAGTTAGTCACAAGAATGTGATTCGAACTCCAATACCGGGTAGAAAAAAACTTGATTATTCAATAGCTCTCATGATAAATTCTGAGACGATTTTTACTTAAAATGAATGATTTGATGGGTATTTTCTCCAAAAGCTTCAATAACTCAAAAACTCTCACTTACAGGACAAAAAAAGTAAATAATTCGACGAATATAAATTTGTCAAGAAACACCCAGAACCAGCCTAACTACATTCTGGGTTGCCTGATTTCTTGGTATGAGTGACAGGATTTATAACAGCGCAACGCCTTAAAAAAAGTGTGAATTTTCCCAGACGCTTTCAAAATACACTCACAAAATTTGAAGTAAGAATGTACTTTCGTTTTTTTGGAAAAAAAAATTAAAAAAAAAAAAATAAATAAGAAAATAAAATAAAAGGAGGAAATTAGAAAAAGGCTGATGTAGTTAGGCTAATTTTCGTTAAATAAGTCTAGATCTCCCTGTTCCGTTACCGTAATGCTTCAGCCTCTAAAGTGTTACCAAAAATTATTACCAGCACTTAGAATCGAGAAGACTCGTCGAGTAAAAAAAACCTCTTACTGAGAGGTAGTCACACTAACCGCAGAACAACCACGCGGGTAAAACAGGGGAAAATCGAGCGATATAATCCAATAAAATAGGGTATAAAAAACTTTCGAGTTGAGTAGGGAGCGAATTGAGCTCGTCGAAAAGCACGTGGGGTGAATGGAAGCCCCGGGTTACGTCACGAGCGCGAGCTTCAACAGCGAGACTAACAGACACCCGTCGCGGGGGTAGGCGAAAGCGCCACTATACCGACCGCGGCGCGCGGGTGCCCCTGAAAACTCGCGGTCGGTGACACGCCGGACAGGAATACTACGCATCTGCGGCCGACCCGACCCGCCTTCCGTACCTGCCTCGCCGGGCAGGGATGGTGTCGGTGTCGCCCTGCCAGGAATGTTACCCCTTGCGAAGCGCTCGGGAAATTGCACGTTGCACATCGTTACGGGGAGAATGGCCTCGGATTTCGCTGTTTTCACGGTTGCATATCCTCGGAAATGAAGGAGCGGGTAATGTGTCGTGCGGTTATTGCGGTTGGGTGAGCGACCTGTTATACGATTACAGAAAGCGTGGGATGTGCTGTGATTGTCCGGACGGCGTTCGACGACATTTGAGTATCCGGAAAACTTTTAGGAAGACTTTATTCGGCGACATTCGGAATATTCTATGAATTGGACCATATTTTGCGATTAGGAACCAATGCGCCTGGCTCATTGTAAAAACAGCATATGTGCCATTGGTTACCCTTTACCGATGGGCGTTTCATGGATGAGACAGAGGTAGTGGTTCCTCATTTCACGAAAATAGAACATTCGTCGAATATTCTAGTCTTGCCGACGAATTGAACATTCGTGTACATTCTGGGTTGGCTAAACTCGAGATCACCTTTCTGAATCCAACAATTAGAATTCTCTTGACCGACTTTATTACATTTTTGAGAGATAAAAAACTCCATGATGAGTGAGACTTTAGATTTTTACAGGGTGACCTGAAAAAACACGAAAAATGTGCTTGCTTAGTTTTCCTTGTAAAAAAACACACTTTAAAAATTACACCACGTTAAGTCTGCAACCACTTGAATATGGACAATTAAAGAGCCTCAACAATGAACTGTCTGTCAAAGGCGAAATTTGTAGAATGTATATCCATGTCCAATCCATCCCCCCTCCCTAAAAAAAAGTTACTGTAAGAATTTTTGTGAATGTTTCGATGAATTATTATGCAAGTGATTCACTCACAAACACTTCCGCGCAGGTTTTCTGAAAGGTAGGCCCAAATAGTGTCATACAAAAACAGGGGGTGGGGGGGGGGGGTGTCCTTCAGAAACTGCACTCATGGTTCATTTCTGAGAACTGAACTATTACGATTAAAAGATTAACATTCCCGAGAGGGACAGGTTGTCGTAAATTGCGATTACACGTTTACTGCCTGAGCCTCTGAACCAACGAGAAAGCCTGAGCGGGGTCAATTTGACCCCAGCTAAAAATCAATTAGTTAGCTACGTTTTTTCATGTTTTTAGTCAATATCAGTGCACTAACCTTACAGGCCTTAACCATAAAGCATATCTAAGTTTTTAAAAAAACACGGCGCAGGGTATGCAACCATTTTATCATACACATGTTGCCATGTTGTTCTCAGCATGAGAAAAAAAAATCATAGGGCTACTAAATACTGAAAACGAAAAAAATCTGAAAAATTTTGCTTGTTTCATAAGTTTCTGAAAAAAATTAAAAAGAGAAAAATGAATACACCTTCAAAATAAGCTTTTGTGATGCTAAATGGTAAAATATATGTTATAAGGATATCTGACCCCGCTCAGGCTTTTTAGGGGTACTCGTGAATTTTTTGATCTCTCATGCACATTTTTTTTTTTTTTCCTCCTTCAAAATCGTGTTCCTAGATATTTTTGTAGAGCTATTTGTGAAGGACAAAAAATTTCGTGCATACCACGAGAAATGGCAAAGAGTTGAAACTCCCGTGGGGTCAATCTGACCCCACTCAGGCAGACTAGGGTTAAATTACTGCTGACTTATCGGAGTGGTATGTATTATGTCTATCTACTAATTGAAGGTGCTCATCTAAATTGTATTTATTAAAATAAAATCAAAATCAGGTGTCATTTTTCTTCGAAATGCAAATTCCCTAACTTAATGATCATGATCGGTCACGGTCATAATAATGATGCAATTTCACGGTGGAAAAAAACGCAATTTTGTTGCTTTTCGTTTTGCATTTTCGTATCAAAATGCTGCTTAGGTTGCAGTATACACTAGGGATCCGTTCAGCAAAACAAAAGGAAAGACAACAGAATCTGACTAGCGCTCGGATGGCAATAAAAGGCATTAGTATAAGCTCTCGGGTCATAAAAATAAATAAAATTGCCCAATAATATTAATGAGACGAACTGCGGGCCGTTCCGAATCAGGCTTCCGGGGGAGAGCGGGGCGGGGGCGGCGGGAAAAGTCGATGAAAAAAGTGAGAGCGATATTTATTAGATTTGATAAAAAGCAATTCCGCGGCGGAGCACCTGGATTTCGGCGTAGCGACTCCGAGGGGGCCCGCGGGTGGGGATGGCAGCTTTATAGAGACGTAGTGCTGAGCCGGTTTACGATTTCTCAAGATTATGATCTGGTCGGAATTTGAAGTGGTACTATTCATCACGGCGCGTTGAGAGGGAGACATATGCAAATCGACGGGGACCCGCCTTCTATCCCTCCGTCCCTTCTGCTCCGGGCCCGCGCCCTCCGGATAATAGGCGAAGGGATTTCGGGATAAACACTAACCCCTGGCCCCCCCCGGCTACAAGCCACTTTTACCTGCGCGCCTACGAAATCTCTTATTTACTCCTGAATTTCAAGCACCCTCGTTTCGGGCGGATCGCCGAAGCTGCACTGCCGAGCGGAGAAAAAACGCCGTATGAACATTCCAGAGTCGCCAAATTTCCTTCGGTACGAGGTTTATTTTTGAGGAAAGTTATGAATGTTTTGTCTTGAAATTTTCAAGAGCTTTGGTTTGAATCGCAAACAAAATTATTCGGAAAATTTGAATACAAATATTCATAAGTTTACTAGGAAATTCGTGTTTTATCAAAGGAAATGTGGCAACGTCTGAAGGCTCATACGGCGTTGTTCCTAAGCACGGAAGTACAGCTCCGATTTATCCCTGTTGGCACTTTGCAGGGTGTCTAGTTTTTAGTCATTTTGGGAAATCCTAATGAAATCCTGATTTTTGACTTCTAAATCCTGATTTCATAATTTTTCCTAGGAATAATACTCTGTAGTTACCTATCTCACTAATAAAGAAAAAAAATAATTTTTCCAAATCCTGATCAAATCCTGCTTCTTTGCGGAGAAAAAGAGGCGAATGTAACTTCACAAAAATAGCTCGATAAGAAAATCCGATCGGACGGCCGACTTTTCTCAAATCCTGAATCTACGACCGATTTTCCCTCAAATCCTGATAAAATCGGGATTAAATCCTGATAGAATCGGGAAAATCCTGATGCTAGACACCCTGCTAAGGGAGCACAGAAAAATGCAGAGGGTTGCCTATCAGGCAATGAGAATGAGGCTCCAACGAGGAGACACTGCTTCACGCCAACATGACCCAACTTCGTCACGCTTTTCGATAGAACCTCGTTTGCTTGCTTTGATGCCGCCTTTTGTATTATCCCTGTGCTCAGAGGGGGGTGACATAATTTTCGCTAACCTAGGACTGTTCACGGAAAAAGGCCCTCGATCAACAAAAACTTGAAATAGTTATTAACGCCGAAGTAAAAAGGGGTTTACCATAAATATCTTGAGAAAAAGTAACCTAAAACTATCAAGGTGAACCGGAGTTATGACGGGTAGAAGTTCAGAAAACGTGGTTTCGAGAAAAAGGCTGTTTGAAATTATTTCATGAGGCTGCTCCACATTAGACTAAAATGGAGGAGACCACAGTGTGACTGCCACATTCGTGGGACGATAACAAATAGAAGCCGTCAGAATAATTTTCTCTCTACTGCTGTCGTCGGCTAGGGCGCCTTCAATTTGGATGATATGCAACGAGCGCGCCTACGTAAAGAAGTACTGTTATTCAGACCCTAATGCTTCATGCCGCGTGATAGCCGTGATTTGGTTTTCACTGCATAAGACAAGTGCAAACCCTACACGTCCTTTTGGAGATTGAAAATGCTTGAATATACATTTTAAATGCTGCACAGTTTCTGTCATGCTAAGAAGCAGGAAAACGATTTTCATTAATCCAAATCTAGTTTGATTTTTCCTTCCTAATCTACCTTGTCATGGTTTCAAAAATTTCAGTTCAGTGTTAGCCACAATTTTGGCAGCTATGGTAATTTTAGATTTTATAATTGTTCTCAAAAACTACTCAAACTCGGACCATTCTACGATACCTATGCTATACAGTATTATACAAAAATGAACTACTAAATTTTTTTTTAAATTAATAGAAAAATTCTCAGCCCTCAGCAAATACCAATAAAGGTATTATGATTATTGAAGGTGCCGTAGAATTTCGAAATTATACTAACATCCAACAAATGATAAAATGCTGAACTTCAAAGAGAATGAAAAAAGTCCCCCCCCCCCACCAAAAATAATTAAACAGATATTTTGAAACACATCAATCAAGAACATTGTTTCTTCAATTTCATCAAAAATGTGTACTTTGAAGCAACTTTGCAGGTCTAAAATTGAACAAAATATGAATCAATCATGCAGACAGCTTTTATTTTTTCATAAATAACAACCACGCGATATTTTTAAGTATAAATTTCAGATTAGTAGACCCGCCTGGTTGGGAAAACTAGACGAGGAATAACAGACTTCATAAAAAACTTATTTTGTAACAAATAAAAACAATAATCTAAAATAGTAACCAATTTTAAAATTTCACCGGCAAACGACTTTCAGACTTAAATTAAATTCCTATAAAATGTCAAATTTCAATCAAACCTCTGAAACATATTGTTCCTTGAGTTTCAATACTCTCCGCAATTTCAATAGTATTTATTCATACCTGGTTTTTTTTTTTTTCAAGTTGCTGAAAGAGAATTTTAAGAAATTGGATTTTGCAGCCAGTTCACAGATCCCTTCACTTCACACGCAGTAATCCCTGAGTTTTGGAACATTTTGGGGTGAGAAATTTCTATGGATATAGGTTGATGATTTTCACAAATATTTCCCTGAGAGGCTAAGAGCATTTTCTTTTTCTTAAATTCAAATAAAATACAGACTAACTGTTCTACTTTTGAAGTTAACTTTCAAATTTTCTTCAAAACAGCTTACTTCATATCAGCTTTTTCATTATTTCAACAATTTTAAATATTGATTTTCTCCATAAAACACTTCCTTTCCGTTCCAGCACTTTAGTGCTAGCATTACTTCGAGTATTTCTAGCCATTCCATGTTCTGTTCAAAAAAACAAATTCCTTAAACTGGACTGATTATCATTGTCTGACTAGCTCATTAACTTTGTTCTAAACTTTTTAAACATCAAATTGATAAAATCATTGCCCTTTCCCTCTGAAAAAAGCTTGACATTACTTCTTAAATTAAAGAAATTAGAGAAAGAAAAATAATCCTTCTTGTAACCTAGGCCCATCTGCCTTGATGAATTTGCAGCAGGAAATCGAACTTCAGATAAGGTATCATTATGGACAGCTGTCATTACCCAAGTAGCATGGATTGCAATTTCATTGCAATGGATTGTGAGTTGATTGCAATTTTTGCTTGTTGCCTATACGTTCATTTGAAGGCGCTTAAAAAGTTGCAATTTTATTGCAATAAGTTTGCAAGAAATGTAGATTATGCTTGTTGCCTAACCTTCTTTTTCAAGGCACTATAAAGAC